CAAAGCACAAAGCTTAGCCTATTATTGCGATTTATTGGATGTGAGGCGCACTATACGGTTCATTAATCAACTGAAAACAGTATCGATTGGGATTTAAGAATTGTTATTGGTTCATAAAAATGAGAATCTATTAAAATCGAGAAATCGATTTTTTTTCCCCCAGCTCTAGCATATTTTGCTGTTTTTATTTGCCTCCACTGTCACTGTGGTGTTGAACATGAAAAGTTACGCGCAGTCTCTGTTCATCTGTTCTCTTCATAAATAAAGAAATGCATAAGCCTATATGCTTGTCCTGTAGGTTCATTATTAAAAATGAAAATGTGAACAAAAATACAAGCAATTAAATGTGTTATTATAATTAAAATATGAAAATTAAAATGATGGGTAATAATAGATTATGACGGAATTTTTACGACAATTTTACGAAATTTTACCTCTGAGATATATATATGTATGTATATACTGTATATAAACAACTAAAAAGTGTTATACGAGGGTGAGCAAATGATGGCAGAATTTTCAAAATTTTCAAAACAAAAGAGGTTTGTCCCAATTGGACTGACAATTTTAAATTGCGATTTCTGCCACAACTTTTTTTTTTAAACGTACTAATCTTGCAACTTATTTATCAAATATTAAAAGGATTTTGCTTTGGAAGTTGTATTCAAAATCCACTTGGCAACTGTTGTTTTGGCTCCCATTGACTGTCATTCTAAAAGGAATGACATGGCAGTGAGTAAATAAGTATATTTCTAGGTGAACCGTCCCTTTATTAGTCAGAACATCATTGCACAAGTACATACTAAAGTGCAAGTGTGTAGGTTATTAGACTTCAGACAACAGCCCGCAGTGGCTTTCAGTGCTCAATAAGAAGAAGCAACTTTGTCATGAGAGCTAAGCTGCCACCAAGCAGTTGCCTTCATGCTAACATCTGAAAGCTCCTGCTTAAATGCTGAAAGCCAGTGGGATGATGAGAGCCCTTTATCACAGTTAACATCTGTACTGAGAATCTTGATCAAGTGAGACTTTACCTCTCTGCTCTATGAGAGACTTGTGTCCTCTGAGCTTGCCTCAGGACTCCTGTTTCAGTGCTTGACAACAAGTGCCTCAGACTCCCTTCCTGTCAGTGTTCCTGGAGCAATCATGATCCAGGTTGACCCTGCTAGGAATGGAAGAAGCGATCAATGTAGTGTTCTGCCCTGTACCAGCTGGGACCTGTTCACTTATACGGAGTCTTTATTATGTCTTAATGGTGCTAGACAGGAGTTCAGCTCACCAGGGTCATCTCTTACTGCTGATCCCGCCAGGCCTGTTGCTGGAGCTCTGATTTTTCCTAGTAGGTTGACTGTCTTAGAGAAGTTGCATCTCTAAGTTCATCCTCTTTTAATGCACCATTGCCGTTGCCTGCTGTGAGCAATTTGCCTAAAACGTATTATGTCATCAGTTTTATTGTGTGTGAACTTTTGTGCAATCAGGTTATAGATATTAAGCCTATATGCTGTCATTTAAAGTTTGGGGTGTGAACTTTTGTGCAATAAGGTAATAGATGTTAAACCTGTAGGCTGCCATTTAAAAGTTTGGGGTTTCCTTAAAGCAAGGATTCATTAAATTTATCAAAAGTTACAATAAAGACTTTTACATTGTTACAAAATAGCTCATTTCCACATTTGTAAAAATAATTTTTTTTCTTCCATGTGAGAGAGTTTGGCATCACAATGGCTTTGTTTCCAAGCGGACTGTTAAAAAAAGTTATTAGAATTATTTTCTGAAGGCTCATGTGACACTGAAGACTGGACTAATGGCTGCTGAAAAATTCATTTTACACAGATTTTATAATATATTAAAAGAGAGAGATTTTGTAAATGTTAAATAAGTTTTTGCTGTATTTTTGATCAAGTATATTGGTAACACTTTATTTTAAGGATCAAATTTGAGCTATTAATTAGTTGCTTATTAGCATGCATATTACTAGCATATTGGCTGTTTATTAGTACTTATAAAGCACATATTAATGCCTTATTCTGCATGACCGTATTTTAGATCCCTTAATCCACCCCATACCTAAACTTAACAACAACTTACTAACTATTAATAAGCAGCAAACTAGGAGTTTGTTCAGGGAAAACTCTTAGTTAATAGTGAATATATGATCTTTATATATGTATATATTTTAAATGTATACAATTAAATTAAAGTGTATACTTTAGGTGCTATGATTGCTCGCATTTTTTATACTATTTTATTTTTAATCACCTTTTACAGTTCACCTAAATGTTCCTGCAACATAGAACATTATTTTTAATTTTTAAACTGCAAATATCCTTTAAATGATATGAGATAGTAATTTTTTAAATAAAAGCAAAATACTGTTTAAGATAAATGTGTCCATTGTTAGGTACACCCGAGTAGTACAGATCAGCACACTGCTTTGCCTCCATAGCTGTCTGAATTGTTTGTGGCAAGGATTCAGCAAACCATGCTGGAAGAATTCCTCAGCGGTTCTAGCCAGGTTAACTCAATACAATCACACAGTCTCTGCCCATTTACAGGCTGCATGAACTTCTCATTTCAGCTCACCCCAAAGGTGCTCTATTGGATTGAGATCAGGGGACCGTGTTGCCATTGGAACAAGCTGAAGTTCCAAGCTATTCCCACAATAGAACAAGGTGGAGATGATGAATGCTTTGTGACATGGTGCATTGTCCCAGTGGAAGTAGGCTATTCATTTCAAATGGCTAGACTGTGGCTATATAGGGATACAGATGGTCAGTAACAATGCTCATACACTACAGCATCTAAATAGAGCACTGTTTGTATTTAAGAGGCCTGTAGTGCGCCAAGCAAACAGTTCCCGTACTATTACACCACCAGCAGCTTGTACCATTGACATGAGGTGGGCTGGTATAAGCGCATTATTCTTCTGCTGTGGCCCAACACCATGAAGCTTCAGAGATGCTCTCCTGCACAAAACTGTTAGAAAGAGTGTCAGTTTGAATGACATTTTCCTCTAGCCTTTTTCTTTAACAAGGTGTTTTTGGCCAGAGAACCTCTCGCTGTTTCTAGCCTGCTGTGTCCAGTACAACACCAGCAATCATACAACAAAGTGGCTCAAATCATATTTATTCCCTTTCAGTTTGGTCGAAAAACAGCTAAACATCTTGACTTTATCGGCTTGCTTTTTGTGTTGAATTGCTGTCACGTGTGTTAAACAAGTGAATCTCAAAAACCTGTCTCTGATTATGTAAGTATATAGTCCTTTGCATAAAGCAGTTAAACAAAAACAACAATATATTGAGGCTACTTATGGTGATGTTAACTATTTACAGTATGCAACACTGCTTCCTGCATCGCTTTTCAGTCATGATCTCCAGCAACATGGTAAAAGAAATCATATTTTATCTGAGTTATGAATGGGAGTTTCAATGTGAATTGAATGTGGTAAGATAAAAAGCACAGTGTAATGCATAATAATGGCAAGAACAGTTATCCCTGCTCGCTGCTAGACAAGCACACAGTGCAACTATAGTCTGATTCATGAGCAAATGACTCTTCTGAGCCGGTTCTTTCATTTAAAAGAACTTGAGTTAGCTGTTTGGATCAGTGTGATGAATTCTTCACTGAATTAACCCACACAATCATCTGATGAGTATGGAAGCCCTAGTGTCTTGTTTTCTCTAAATTCTGAGTTTACATCCTGCAATTCTGACTTTTTCCCTCAGAATTTAGTTTTTTTTTTTTGTTAGTTTCTGCCATGGAATAAGAAATAAAAAAAGCAATTGTGACTTTTTATCTCTTTATTATTTTTTCTTGCTATTGTGAGTTTATATCTCGTAATGAAGACTTTTCTTCTGAGAATTGTGAGAAAAAAGTCTGAATTGTTAGACAGAACTGCAAGAAAAAAAGTCAGAATTGTGAGATAAAACATTTTTTTAGTCAGTGGTGGAAACGGGGCTCTATATATGGGTTTCTAAATTAATATCTAAATGTTATTTTCATATTTTTTAGATTATATTCATATTTAAAGTAAGACACTCCCACGATCCTAAGTATCATGTATAACTATTAGTGCTGTCAAATGAGTATAAATTTTAAAAAATAAAAAAATAAATTTTTTTGTTTACATATGTGTGTACACTATGTATATTTATTATGTATATATAAATACACACATATACAGTACATATTTAAAAATATTTATATGTATATATTTATATTCATATAATTTATATTTAATATATAAACATAACATTTCTCCTAAATATATACGTGCATGTGTGTGTATTTACTGTATATATACATAATATACACAGTACACACACATATATTACGTAAACAAAAACCTTTATTTTGGATGCGATTAATCGCGATCAATCGGTTGACATCACTAATACTATTTAATGCCTTTTATTACAAAACTGTTTTGAGAACGTGTATCATTACATACAGGTAGTCAGATGTTCAGTAATGCTTTAGAGTGATTCAAACCAGTTTGAGATTGTGAGTCTTTTGACTGATTCATTAGAAGACATTTGTTTATTAAGTGGAATACACTGGTCGCACTGTATGATTTTCATCTTGTGTTATTGGCATGGTACATGCGAAAACAAAGACTGAGCACAATCAAAATAATCCAGTGGTTATTCTATCACATTTAATTAATGTCTCAGGCAAAATATAGTTTCTGTTGCTGTGGTGCTACAGATTGTGTGGTATAGGAAACATTCACTACAGAGTGAATACGATTGATTCCACTGTTCTGTAAGTCTGCTTACAGCTCTGCACACTGAAATTATGACATATTATGTGGCATAAGATGAGAGAATGCTGAGTTTTGTCATGCTACACAGGTAGTAGTTAGGAAAAGAAACCCTGCTACATAATTTTGAAAATAGCTTAGCTGTTATGCTACTGAAAAATGTTAAGTCAGTGACGTTCTGCTCAGCAGTGCTGCATATTAACAGCTCAATAACTGAAAATGTGTATTTCCATTTTTATCACAGAAACTCAAACAGAAGAACCAGCAGCTGAAGATGATTATGGACCAGCTCAGAAACCTCATCTGGGAGATCAACTCCATGCTGGCTGTCAGGAGCTGAACACACATGTGTGTGTGCACAGAGTCAGTGTTGTACATACACAGCCTGTGTTCGCTGCATTCACGAGCTCTGCTTTCAGTGCGTAAGATAGATGCAGGAAAGAGCAGCGAGGCACAAAATTGAGAGAAGGTAGGAAGCGAAAAGAGGAATGAACTGAAGAAATTCTGCTGAATTCATAACACACGGTTGAAATACCATTCGGTTCAGCTGACTTGGATCCAATTTTCAACCTGATGAACATTAGGAGGTCTGAGCAGTCTGCTCATTCACTCAGATATGCTTTAAAATGAACCTTTTACGCAAGTATATTCCTCATATTTTGCATGAGTGATAGCTCCTATTTACTGTTAAACTGTGTAGCTCTCAATCATAACTTATAGAAAAATAATGTGTGAAACATTGCATATCAGTGTGGTGTTAATATATCTATTAAGTATAAACCTTATACCAGTGCATCTCGACTGCTTCATACTTTTGTGGTCGTGTTTGGAAAAAAAAAAACTCATGAACAAATGATCTGATTTTACTATTAGATATAAAAGCATCCTTCTCAAAAAGAAAAAAAAAAATGCACAGCCGTTTACAGTAGACGCACAATCAATAGTGCTGAATTTCAGCATGTACACTGTAAAAAAAAAAAAATCCGTTAAATTTATGGTAAAAAAAAACGGCATCTGTGGTTGCCAGAATTTTACCGTCAAAAAAATACGGTAGCAACATTTTAGGTTTTACAGTTTTAACTTAAATTTACATTTAAATAACGTAATTTCATTAAATACTACATCGTTTTGTGGTTTCGTGTGGACGCAGATATTTCTTGAGACGAGGGGAAAAAAAAGATCGGATATGGAAAGCTCTGGCTTCGTGTGGACGTAGCCTAAACATCATGGTAGCACACATGAAACTGAAATAATGCAATAATCATTCATTTAACAACATTAGCTGTAACATACAACCCTAATGTACAAAACTGATAAGAAAAAAGTGTCATTCACACAAACACTAACACACACTGCCCCGTCCACATGGAGATGCGTTTAGCTGTATACGCATACATTTTGTATCGTATAGCCGTTTCGTCCACACGGATCCGGCGTTTTGGGAGAGTGAAACCGATATTTTTTGAAACCGGGTCCCAGATTTTTTTTTTACCGTATATTGTAGGGGAACTTATCGTTAACCATTTAACGTGTTTTTACTGTAGCATTTTTACAGTCTTTTACTGTTAAATTCAAGGTTATTTTTTTTTACAGCGTACAGCTCAATATAATCCCTTATCTGTAACCTCTTTATACCATTAATCGGAAAAATAAACACGCAAGTCACGTCAGTATAGCATCAAATATGACTTTATTCATTTTCTTATAAATCATTCATACAAAATTGGCATTTTACAATTTCTTTATTACCTCTATTAAAAAAGTCATCTGTTAATTACTGGGATGAAGGGTCAGGACAGGAGGCCGCAAAACAAACAGCTCTGAACAAAAAGAACCCAAAACAAATCAGTATTTACTCATAAATAGCCTAAAGTGGTCATGCAAGTCTGGTTAACAGCCTAACGTGAGAAATACAGTTGCGTGTTTAACAGATACTGTGAAACTTTAGTGTCGGAAGATGACGCAACTTGATTTGAAAGATTTTGCCGGTTCTGTCTAAACTCAATTCAATTGAATCAAAAGGCACAATCAGGGAGAGATCAGTGATGTTTTTGAGCATGACTCGATATTGCTTATTGCTAATCACAGAAAGTAATGTAAGAGAAATCGGATGCTAATTTTACCAGTTAACCTTGAGACAGGATGATCTTGACGGAATGAAAAACAAGCAGAGAAACCATAAAAGAATGACAACATAATACAATTGCATGAGTTTAAATTTGCCAAGATTCTTTGGTGATCTTGCAAGTGTGTAGTGGTAGCAGCAGCATTCAACAGGCCAATTTCAAATGAATGGCTTTGTCACGTTAAGCTAGGTAATTAAAATAACACTGGCATCAATGCAAACACCTATCAGTGTGTTGTCTGCACACATGCTGTGCACTGACAAGGGCCTTGGGCAGATCTGGACGATGCTGGGCGTATCACAAGCTCTGATGACAGCATTGGCAAGGGCATCGTGACGGGATGGGATGCACATATTAATCAAAACGGACATCTGATGCACACATCTACCGCCTAAAGTCATCTCAGATGCATCATCCTATATAGAATTGTGTAGATCCAGCGGTATGAACAAGGATTATGTACATTGAAGTGTCTTATAATTTGGCCGATGAAATTGTGCGAGGCCAGACGTTGATTCTGTGATATGACATTATAACAATGACAATCATAGGTATAAATGCTGGATATAACATTTTTAAATTAGCTGGTTTGCTGAACTTAAAACTTAACCAGATGTGGGTCATTTGTGTTAAAACTTAAAAAAAAACAAAAAACAAAAAAAAAGACAGAAAAAGGGTGACAAAGACGACTAATTACAAATGAACATTTTATGCAACAGTTAAGAGGGCAATTATAGTAGAAGCTTTCAGGGACTTTAATTCACGTACTTGTATAACAAGATTCAAGCAAGCACCTAAACTTAAATGTCAAGACTGCAAATTTCTGAGGCCTTTAAGTCATGATGCTTATTAAAATACAACGCACAGCAATTGAAGGGTTCCTAAACAACATTCAGTGTCAGATATGCTTTTAAATTTCAGCGTGGGCAGACCATGCCCACATGGAGGGGGAAAAACAAAACAAACAAAAACATGTAGTGTATGTCAGCATCAACCGAATTCTAATGCATTATGTGAAGAAAACATGAAAAGGAAAAAAGGCTTTGGCTCACAGCTGGCACATTTTAAGTCCAGTCACCTTCACAAAAGGCCACTAAAGCACGGCACTCCTTCAAGTCATCAGACATTCAAGTACCTGTGAGCGGAGGCTGACAACACACTCCACTCTGACTCTGGAAAACACAGAGAAACAACACTGGAGGGGCCCAACGTCTCGAGAACCGTTCCCTTGATATTAAATCAACAAGAAAGGATATAAAGGAAGCATACACTCGTCACTTTCTAGGGGACAGAAATTAGCCAGGTGTCCATTTGTGGCTGAGTGAGTTTTATATGCGAAGGAGTCACGTTTAAAATAGGAGGCCAAAGAGGAGAAATGAGCCAGTGCCATTGAACTTTGATGGACAGCTCATTTTTCACAGGGACAGGGAAGATAAAGGAGGTGAGAGACGTCTCACTTAAATTACGGCCATAAGTCCTTACGATGCAACCTGTCATGCGCTGATGTCTACAAAAGTTTTCACACCTAAACAGATGGCGTTCCTGCACTGTAAGCTCTGCCTTTGTTTCCATGCTAATCTTTTTCTTGACTATGACAAACATTTTTTTTCTCCAAGTCGGGTTGTTTAATAACGTGAGGATTTAGGGAATTCTAATTAATTTTTTTATACACTTTAAGGTGGATTTGCATGAATTAATTAGGTAGGGAGGGTTTGACAAGCCACTTAAGGCAACTCATTAGTCTTGGCACCATTTTTAAAAATAAGAAATAAAATACTGCAGGGTGTTTAAATGGTGGTTATGCCGTTTTGAATGCAATGTTACGGCCCTTTTTTTGCTCACAGTTATATTTCTGTGTCTGTGAACTATTCACCTGCACCGTCTACATCATAGCCTTCCAATGAAACTAAATGATTATGAAGTGTTTTGAAAAGGAAAAAAACCCTAATACCTCAAAAACTTGGAAATAAAACCATATGAGCTCAATCGTACACAATCATGGCTCGAGACCTCGGAAAGAACTGAGAACATGATGTTGACAGCCGAAGCGGGAGGGTGGATGGATCCAGATGTGGCGTGGTGAAGAAGTGCTAACACGATGATGCATCCCTCCTGTCGTCCAACAACTTGCTTGTGTGCTGGGAAAGATGAGTTTTCTGTGGCATTCGTTACCAACCTTGAAACAAAACGAAATCTTCCGAAGAGTTAAAAGTGTGTCACGTGTGTCTGAAGGTCCACAGAGGCCTGTGTTTGTCCTTTGCTTGTGTGCTGAAGGGAAAACTGAGCCACGGGCTCTTCCGCTATGGTCCTCCTCTGCTCCGGAGAGTCTCTTGCGGCCCCCTGTTGAATGTCCGACAAGGGGCGCCAGTCTGGTCAGAGCCGCTCGATCTCCCTGTATTTCTTGCGGAGGATGGAGACCTGGTCCTTAAACAGAACGGGGTCCAGTCTCATTTGGGAGTGGACCAGTGGCATGCCGCCAAACCAGCTGGCGAACTTGTTCATGCAGGTCTGCCGCTGGGCAAAGTGGTCCGGGTCCGCCCAGCGCGAGGCTCGAGATGACTAAGAGGAACAGATGCACAACATTAGACATCTGCTCAAGCTCATGTAGGTTTCATTATCTGTGTGTCACGTGTGTCTGAAGGTCCACAGAGGCCTGTGTTTGTCCTTTGCTTGTGTGCTGAAGGGAAAACTGAGCCACGGGCTCTTCCGCTATGGTCCTCCTCTGCTCCGGAGAGTCTCTTGCGGCCCCCTGTTGAATGTCCGACAAGGGGCGCCAGTCTGGTCAGAGCCGCTCGATCTCCCTGTATTTCTTGCGGAGGATGGAGACCTGGTCCTTAAACAGAACGGGGTCCAGTCTCATTTGGGAGTGGACCAGTGGCATGCCGCCAAACCAGCTGGCGAACTTGTTCATGCAGGTCTGCCGCTGGGCAAAGTGGTCCGGGTCCGCCCAGCGCGAGGCTCGAGATGACTAAGAGGAACAGATGCACAACATTAGACATCTGCTCAAGCTCATGTAGGTTTCATTATCTGCAGTGCGTTTTGTTTTCTCACTTACCTGAGCCATCATGGTCTCCTTGTACTGTTTTTTCTGTGTGACCTTGATGGGCGGCAGCTTGGTGACAGCAGACACTAGGAAGTTCATGAGGATGTCCTCACAGTTGGCCAGCTGGTCCACCATGCTCTTCAGGCTATTTGGCAGGAAGTTGGTATACAGGGAGTGGTAATATCTGGAGAAAAGGACGGAATGGAGAACATGGACATTGTCAAGGACAGGTTGAGACAATAAAATCTTAAATTCAAAAGCTCAATAGGACAATGAACACAATGTGCTGGATAAAATGGATAAAATATATTTATTTTTTTCATTAACTGCAACAAAAACCAATCAGTCTTTTAATCAATGACTTATTTTTTTCAATACTGTTTTCCTTAAATATATATTTAATGGCTGCTTGTCCTACAAATGTGTCCTTGCTGCAAGTTTCTAGCTTACTACGGAAACTGCAAATCATGTTTTTCTGAGAAATTCTACCCTAAAGCTGGTGCCATCATATTAGGTCATTCTTTATTTGTGGTGGCATGTGGTATTAACTTTGCAACAATATAAATGTTTAACATTTTTATTTAAAATAAATATTATGCATGCTAAATTAAATACAATTACACAATACAATAATTATATTGCCATGAAAATACTTTTATATAATTACTTTTGTGATATTTGAAGAAAAATGACCTTTTCATGTCCTCAATGTCTGTGGTGTTACCATGATGGAAACGGATCCTTATATTTGGACAATTTCCTGTACTTCCTGTTTAAGATCATAGCGCTGAGGAGTGTATGGTGAGACTTTTTCTTTAAACA